ACTGGCAAGTTAACAATCAACAGTGCCACACCTAACTCAAATGCCTATGACTAAAAATTGTAGGGGACTCAAATGCCTATAAAGATGCCCATACTGAATGGAGTGGGGCAGTGTGTATTAAAGGGGCAGGGAAGGAGTGTGGGCAACTGGGGATGAAAAGTTCTGTCTTAGAGAGACAGTTCTGTTTTAACTCCAGCCTGGTTCAGCGTTGTGGGTTAATGTGCTGGACTGCAAAGTTAATTTGAGCCTCAAGGTCAGTCGTTCAAGTTCACCAGCTGCTCCTTGGAAACTCTATACAGGGTTGTTATGGGTTGGAATCGACTCGATGGTACTTAACAACATAATAACAACAAATTTAAGGCACGTGGAATGAAGGTAAAGGGCTGCTACACTGATGTTTTCAACAGAAGTCAGAAATTGAGTTTTAAATATGAACTCAATATGTTACAAAACGTATCTCCAGGTTGTCCATTTTTTACCTCTGATTTAATTCTCTTCTAATCTCAGTGGTGGTGGTGGTGGTTATGTGCCGTGGAGTTGGTTCTGACTCATAGTGATCCTGAACAGGGTTTCCCGAGGCTGTAAATCTTTACGGGAGCAAAAACCTCATCTTTCTTCTGTGGAATAGCCAGTAGTATCGAACTGCTGACCTTGAGATTAGCAGCCTGATTTGTAGTTTATTACGAGTCCGGCTGCTAACGTTGTGGTTAGCAGTTCAAATCTACCAGCTGCTTTTCTGGAGAACGATGAGGCTCTCTGCTCCCATAAAGATTTACAGTTCAGAAACTCTACACAGGGTTGTAATGAGTCAGCAATGACTCAACTGCACTTTGCAAGTGGGGTTGGTGATGTGACTCAATGGCAGTAGCAATTGGTTCCTCAGTAGAGATGCCATGCCTGACTTCACTGTATACCAATATAGCCTTAAGATGTCAGAGTGGGAAGAGAGCTTGCAGATCACCTAACCCAAAGGTTTTCAAGAACTTCTGGGCAAAATTTCCTAGTGTTTCCCAAAGCAAAACACCTGTATAAAAAATTCCCCAAGAAGTCTGTTAAAATGGCAGATTCCTGGGTCTCATACCAGACTCACCAAGCCAGAATTTCTAGGGAGTCCTCAGAGGTACCTCAGGAGTTTTAGAAATTCAGAACTTGACTACAAATAAACCACACATAAATAAACCATAAGCTACTGTGGTTGGTGGTTCAAACCCTCCCATAGTAGGCTTGGAAGAACGACTTGGCAATCTGTTTCTGCAAGGACACAGCCGTTGAAAACTCCATGGATCACAATGCTACTCTGACACATCAGGGGTGCCATGAGTCAGACTGGTGGTAACTGGTTTTATTTTGGAGATTCTTTAGATGCCTTAAGGAGTCTTAATGGTGCTATAGAATAAGCACTGGACTTCTAACTGCAAGGTTGGCAGCTCAAGTCCACTAGCCTCTCCGTGGGAGAAAAATGAGACTTTTTGTGCCTGTAAAGATTTACAGCCTCAGAAACCTCATACGGAGTCATATGAGTTGGAATTAACTTGATGGCCGTGGGTTTGGTTGGTCTTGAGGAAGATGCAGAGTTTCCTAGTGAGATTTCTTTTGAAACCGGTGCTGTGCGGTTTTGTTTTAATGTTTTGAAAACAATTGTTACACAATCTTTCTAATGTATAGATGAAATACTGAATAAAACTCAGAGGTTACCTGACTTGGTTAAAATAACAGCTAATTGGGGCAAAATCTTTACAGGCCTGATTTAAAGTCCAGTGGCCTTGAGACAAGGGTGAAACTCACAGGTCATGCAGGTTTCTGTTTCTCACACTTTGTTCACTGAGTCCATTCTACTCTGCATCCATCAGCCACCCTTTTCTTTGGTTTATGGACTCTCTTCAAATGATACAACCTAGGCAGGGACAAGCTGCAGCCCAACCCACTAATTGTAAGATGCAGTAGAAAATTCCCAAGTGGACACCCTATGACAAGACAAACCCCATTCAGATCAGGAGGTGAATGTGCACAAGTGACCATTCCCGTAAACATCTATAGGCCCCCAGATAGCTGCAGTGTGACTGCCTTCATCACCCATAAAGAGATGGCTGCAGGCCAGCTCTGACCTTCCCACTTATACACACTGGAGAAAGGAGAGTCTTCTGAAAATGCTGCATGTGTAATTTTATTTCTTCCAAGTTCATTCTGTAACTTAAACCTCACTAACAAAATCACAGCTTGGCCTGGTGAATAGAGAGTCTGTTTAAAGAAGAAATCATAATGAACAAACCCCTGGATTGTTTGGAATGAATATTTTAAAATGCTGCATGAGATTGTAAAACTAGTTCTGCCAAGAGACTTAATTAGCCAGTTTCCCTCTGGTTTTCACTACTAGCCCATGTGCTCAGCAAACCTTCCCTACAAATGGGATGGCAAAATCCAATTTTAACCAGTTCCTCCTTTTTGGAAACTTTTTATTGTGAATTGAGTGAAGGTTTACAGAGAAGAGCATCAATTTTACATTCAACAAATTGTATACCTTGTTTCATCTCAATGATTGCAATCCCCTCCATGTAACAACAGTTATCTCGCTTCCTCCCTGTGGTTCTTATTTCCATTCCACCCACTTTCCCATTCCTTCTCAACTTTGCCCTTTTGATCTTGAATGGTTAACCATTCTATGGTGAGTATACCTTACTAGTGTCCCCCTTATATATCTATCTATTGCTTGGCTAAACATTGGGTCCTGAGGGTGAGTTCCATTCCAGACCTGAAAGGTAGCTAAGGGTCATAGGTTCAGGTTCCTCCAGTCTCTTTCTGACAGGTAAACATAGTCTCTCCGCCTCCACAATTTTGAGTTCTGTTCCACATTTACTCCCCCTCTATCTGGGACCTTCAAATTTGATCCCTTTGAGAGCAGTTGGTAGTGGTAGCTTGGCACCATCTAGTTATTATGTCTCAGTGTCTTGGTGACCAGTGCCCTCTTGTAATCCAAATCAAAGAAGCTGTCTGGTGTATTTTTGTGCATACTTCAGTACAAACTATGGATTATCCAGTCAGAATATTTAATACTTCTTGTCACACCAACATTATTCATGCCCTTTTTTCATTCAGTCATACCCATTTGCACTTAGTAGAAATTCTAATTCTTTTCTATGACTTCAGTTTCTTTGCCTTCCACTCTCTCAGTATACTCAGTCTTTGGACATACTAATGTTTTCCATTTGCTACTGCTTCACATTTTTCCCTGCTCTTTGAATAGGCATAGCTCCCTTCTCATCATTCAAGTCTCAACTTGAGTCACCCTCACTGAGGAAGAATTGGAGTATGTGTCCAATTGTCTCCATGAATAACTACAACTTTTGCCAGTTGTTGTTGTTGTTGTAGTTGTTAAGTGCCGTGGAGTCGGTTCCGACTCATAGCAACCCTGCACAGGGTTTCCGAGGCTGTAAATCTTTACAGGAGCAGAACGCCTCATCTTTCTCCTGCGGAACTGCTTGTAGTTTCGAACTGCTGACCTTGTGGTTCACAGCCCAATTTGTAAAAAACTGGATGGTGCTCAGTTACCATCACCAAACAATTTGATCAAAGATGCTCTAGATAAATTTTGATCAAAAGGGGTGTGTGTGTGTGGAACAAAACTTCAACTTCTTTAAGAATCCAGATTTTCTAGAGCCTTTGAGATTGGATGATCAAACCCACCCTTCCCTTACACCCTTGGCCCAAGGACACCCTTCTACTTTAAACTGAAACTATCTCTTAAAGCCATCTTTAAACCAAAAGATTGTTGTTGTTAAGTGCCATTGAGTCAGTTCTGACTTATAGCAACCCTGTATAGGGCTCCTGAGGAGTGGCTGTTGGGTTTGAACTGCTACCTTGCAGTTCATATTGACCTTGCGGTCCAGTGCTTATCCTATAGTGCCACACCAGGACTCCAATAGATAGTTTAGCTTGGTTTTAAAAGACTGTCTACTTGAAGTATGTGTTCTTTTTAAAGAATTATCAATATTAGATCAAAGTGAAAACAGTAACTCCAAAAACTAGCTAAGAACCTAAGGGGGCAATGAGTTTGTGTTGATGGTGAAAGGAGATACAACTTGAGAAATGTGACCAATGTCACTGCGTAAATTGTTGAGTCAGTGTATGTTTTACTATATATGTATATCTTCATTTAAAACAAAACAACAACAAATTAACTATTATGGTCCTTGCGGGAGAATGTAAAAAATAATAAATAAAAGAAAAACAAACACAAAAGAATTACCACCAAGAGGCATTCATTTCCAGATCACACACTATTTAAAACAGATAATTTTTGATTTTGATGACTCCATCCATCCCTTAATGGCATTTAACAGCAAGAGCCTTTCACTTAGTTTTATTCGGTACATTTGTTTATCATAGTTGGAATTGACTTGACAGCAACCGTTCTTGTTTCATTTTAAAGAAAACAAACCCTGATTTTATCTTAGACATGTATCTTGCTACTTTTTTCACATGGTTGTTATTGCCTCCTCCCCCTGCCACTAAAATTTATCTCCAAGAAAGTCTTTTCTACTCGGTGCAGCACATTAGCCTCCGTACCAGATCAGCCCCTGAAATAGAGTAAAACCAGATGCCTTGGAGTCAATTCCATTTCATGGCATCTCCATGTGTGTCAGAATAGAACTGTGTTCCATAGGGTTTTCAGTGGCTGATGCTTTAGAAGATCACCAGGGCTCTCTTTTGAGGTGCACTTAGGTGGACTCCAACCGCCAATCTTTAGGTCAGCAGGTAAGTGAGCTAACCTCACCACCCAGGGACTAGTAGATGAATAATGTGGGAATATAATATTGGCTGAAACATGGTCTCTGCCTTCAAGAAGTTCCTATTCTAATCTCCTGATGCCCCCTAGCTCTTGACCTCACAGAAGTTACCTCCAGAATCTTAACTGTTCACTTTTATACAATAATGACAGCCCCTTCATATGTATCAGAGCTGTTTTACACAGCAACTTTCAGTGGGGCACCCTCATAGACAAGATGAGTTGCCAGCATTTGACAAAGGAAACAGTGAGCCCATAGTCCCAGTCCATGGGGCGTGGGGCAGGATGTCTCTTACCAAATGACCACACATCTGACTTGCTGCTGTAGCGGCTGAAAGAGAAAACTTCTGGGGATGCCCACTTCACTGGGAACTTGGTGCCTGTGGAACTTGTGTACTGATCATCCAGGACAAACCTAAGGCAAGGAGGAAGAAGTCAGAACATTTGAGGGCCTGAGTCCCGTTGCTGAGGCCTCCCTGGCATCACACCCCCTTAGTACCTTGTCATCCCAAAGTCAGACACCTTGATGACTTGATTTTCTCCTACCAGACAGTTTCGGGCAGCCTAGAGAAAGGAGAAGCAGACAAAAGTGAAAGGAAACGTGTTGGTGGAGAATCAGTAATTAAGGAGTCCCTATAATCACAGTCCTTTACTTTTCTATGTGCTGTTGTATCAGGGCCTCAAGAAGATTTACAAACATTAATTAAGCTACTCAAATGCCTCCTGGAAGTTAGCTGGAAAGTGGAATGTCTAAGTGCCTTTATCAGGATGAGTAAGTTTAATGTTTTATCTTTACTTCTGGGGTCCCTGTTGGAAGACAAATCCATGGTGTTACCTAATCAAGCTGCTCTAAGGCAACTCTATGAGATAAGAAATGTTAACATTAAGAATGATATGAAGAACGTGTTTTCCATGTAACTAAATAGAAGTGTTTGGAGGTTGTTAGTTTGCTTAAAACTATCCCTCAACAGAGAGATTACCAGTTAGAATCACAGAATGTTGCATTGGACAAGTCCTCAGAAATCATTAACTCCAGTGATTCCCAACTTTTAGTGTTTTATAAATCAGTTGGGGGACTGTGTCAAAATAATTATTCTTAAACCCCAGCCCCCAGTGATGCTGAGGGTGGATTTAAGATCACCCCATGTGATTCAGTGAGGCCCTTGAAGAACATTTTTACAAAAACTGGGATTGCCCATTTCCCCTCATTTGTAGGTGGGAACTGGGGCATAGAAAAGAGGGATGTGCTGTTAGCTCTGTTCTGGAAGAACATAAGCTGTTATTTAAAACATAAAATGGGACTGTCCACAATTAGAGGTGGGACTTGGGTTTAGAACACAGATCTGAACGCTCACAATACATTTCTTATAAATCAGCTGTCATTGAGTCAACTCCAACACTCCACAATCTCATAGAAGCAAAATGTGTTCCATAGGATATTCAATGGCTGAGTTTTCAGAAGTAGGTCACCAGGATTTGCTTCTGCAGTATCTCTGGGGGGACTTGAACCTTGAACTTTTCAGTTAGCAACCAAGTGCATTAACCACTTGTACCCAGGGACTTGGGCTTTCCCAAGGGGTGTTGAGAAGAGAGAGTAGAGAGATGAAGGGAGGTGGTCAGTGACTTGTTATTTATTAATGTGATTTCAGCCTTGGACTCTCCATTTCATTGGGACCTGCCCTTCATCCTGGACCTGGAGGTTTGCGCCCCATACCCTCTTACCAGGTCTCTGTGGATGACACATGCATCTTCCAGGTAGGCCATGCCCTCACACACGTCCAGGCACATGCCCAGTAGGGTCTCCGCCACAAAGACCCCCCGCTGGCTGCGCAGGTAATCTGACAGGCAGCCATGCTCCATGAACTCAAACACCAAGCAGATGGGGGCCTGTTCCAGACACACTCCATAAAGCTGGACCAGTTTGGGGTGAGAAAGTTTCCTGGGGGAAAAAGGCAAAGGATGAGATGACCCAAACCAAGTCGCCCGAAAGTGCTGAACATTTTATGGCATTCAAGAACCTGATGGTCACTTCATCTAACTTGTGGTTTATAAAACAAAATCTACTACCCAAAATGAACACAAAATACATTTGATTTTATTTATGAAAATGTCCTAATTGAAGGTGTAGTTTAGCGCTTTTTATTGCATGGGACTGATCATTATCAGCAATATAAAGAAGAAGAGCTTTTCTATTTAAACCTTCCCAGTATCTTCTATAGTGTATAGTTGTTGTTAAGTGCCGTCATAGTGACCCTGTATAGGGTTTCCAAGGGGCAGCTGGTGGGTTTGAACTGACCTTGTGGTTTGCAGTCCAGTGCTGATTCTACAGTGCCACACCAGGAGTTTCACAGAATGTAGTAGAGGTGACCATATTATTTAACACTCAAACTAGGACACTTTTGAAGGGAGCACTATCAATAAATAATACGTCTGGACAAGGGTATAAACTGGGCCTGTTCTGGGGAAGCCGAGATGTGTGGACACTAGATATAAGAGACAGAAGACAGAATGTGGCTCCTGAAGAGGAATGTCATTTGATCCCTTCCATTGGGAGCTGAATCTCAGCTCCTCCATCTGTAGAATGGGATTACTTATATCTCATAGATGATTACGGGGAAGAATAGATTGGACTAGTGGTCCCCAGCAGAGGGTTATTTTGCCCTAGAGAGAACACCTGGCAATGTTTGAAGCTAACCCTGGCTGTCACACTGGGAGTGGAAGTGCTATCAGCATCTGGAGGGTAAAGGCCAGGGATGCTGTTAACATCCTACTGCACTCAGGACAACTTCCCCAGCCAAGAATTATCCAGTCTGAAATGTCAGTAATGCTGAGGATGAGAAAATCTGGGTATGACTGAGAGAAGGTTTTTAGAAGGAGCTTTGTAGCCTGCAAAACCATACTCAAATATGTTGTTGTAAAGTGCTGTCAAGTCAGTTCCAACCCATAGTGACCCTGTATAGGGTTCCTAAGGAGCAGCTAGTGTGCTTGAACCATCGACCTTGTGATTTAAACCAACTTTGCAGTCCAGTGCATTAGCCCACAGTGCGATACCAAGACTCAGATTAAAATATAAGTGATTAGTATTGCCCTAGCAAACATACCAGTGATAACTTGACTCCAACAACTAGGTTTAATCTTCAATTATTCTACATTTTAGCTCATATGATCTCTCTCTACACATTACTTATTCAATAAGCATCTACTGTCATTATGTGCCAGGTACTGTGCTAGATGCCAGGGATATAATGAATATGACAGACAAATTCCTACCCTCACATAGCTTACATTCTAGAGGAAACCAGGTAGGTACAAAAAGGTGCAAAAAAAAGACAAAGAACCATAAAATAGCTAAAATAACAAAGATAATCTCATAGTGATGTAAGAGTGACAGGGGGCTCAGAGAAAGTTAGGGAAAATTTGTATGTATCCATATACATTTATATCTATATTTATATGTTTAGCAGACATTAAAGTAAAAATGAGTTCATGTTTAAAAACAACACAGCCCAGAACATCGGCCCCAAGGCATCTTTGCATCCCTTGTTTTGACCACTCACATCATGACTTCTGCCTCCTCTATGAAGTCCTCTTCAGACATAGCTCCTTCCTGAATGGTTTTGATGGCCACCTTGTCCTTGTTGAGCCAGTAGCCAAGATGCACCAACCCAAATTGTCCGCTGCCAATCTCTTGCACAAATGTGAGCTCTGAGGGATCAATCACCCATTTCCCTGTAAGAAAGAGAGATGGGTTTCCAGGGTTGGCTAGCAATTCATAGGAGGCATAGGGCTCCCAGGAAACTAAACAGCTCCTACATAAAACTCCTGGTGTGGCATTGTAGGATACACACCGGACTGTGAACCACAAGGTCGGTGATTCAAACCCACCAGCTGGCTCCTAGGAAACTCTATACAGGGTCAGTATGAGTTGGAACCGACACCACGGCACTTAATAACAACAGCAATGTAAAATTGTAGAATTTTAACCTTTTGTTAATATGCCCCAAAGATGATGAATTGTATAAGTTCTAGACTTATCATAAACCCATTGTCATTGTGTTAATCCTGAATCATATTTACCCTGGAAGACAGAATAGAATGACCCCAATAGGATTTCCAATGCCACAGTCTTTATGGAAGCAAACTGCCATGTCTTTCTCCCATGAGAACTATAGACACAATTGTTATATATTTTTCTATATAATGACATAGGACATGCATTTAAAACTTTGAAAAATGTGTCTAAGTGGGTTACATGCAAAGGGGAAGCAAAGAAGTATTAATCAAAATATTAAAGAAACGAAATGAAAGAACTTCTGTAAGATCTCAATCATGTTCTATACCTAACCGTTAATCCTGAAAATGTGTTATTGTCATTTTTTCATAAAGGGAAAATTTTATTTGAGCTGCTGCTTCATCCATTCATCCTTTCATTGATAATCAGCACCCGCTCTGTACACAGCACTCCAGTGGGCATTGACAGGCATGGGAAGTGACAAGGTAGATTCAACAAGAGCTTGTCCAGAGGCACAGCCTAGCACAGTGCCTGGTACGTGACAGACTCTCAGTAAGTGGTCAAATAAAATGGCTCTGGTCTCTATTTCTTCATCAGCAAAATGTATGGGTTATCTCTGAGATATCATCCAGTCTGGACACATATAAATTCTACAGGTTTTAAAGTAACCTTATTTTCACAAGGAGGTTACAGAGGCATTGTCCTAATTTGACCTTTAGTTTAATACCCTTAGTCTAACATTGGCCAGGTGGCATCATTGATGGACTCAAGAGTGGCAGCGGTAGTGAGGTTGGCCCAGGATCGGACATTGTTTCGTTCTGCTGTGCATGGGGTCACTATGAGTCGGTTCCGACTCGATGGTACCTGACAATAACAACAAGTCTAACATTAGAAATAGTCAGATTTCTATCTCTTTAAGAGAGAGATCCAACAATAAACAGTATTTAGTCCCTCCTGTGGGAACATTATGGTACTAGTTAAGAACAGAGAGGCCTCTAACCACTTGCACCAAAATTGGCCAGGATGCTTACTTCACATGCAGATTCTAGGGCACCGCATCCAGAGACTGGGTTCTGGTAAGTGCTGGGAGCCCTTGTGGTGCTGTAGGTTAAGCATTGGACTGCTAACTGCAAGGTTGGTGGTTCAAACCCACCAGCCTTTTCCCAGGAGAAAAATGAGGCTTTCTACTTCCATAAAGATTTAGTCTCAGAAACCCTCAGTAGCAGCCCTACTCTGTCCTGCACAGTCGCTATGGGTCACAATTGACTCAGTGGCCATGGGTTTTGAGTGTTGGGAAGGGTCCAGCAGTCATTTAAAATAAATATCCCAGATGATGTTGATCCACACTAGTTTGAAAGCCATTAACCCAAGAGAAAGGTGCACTTGTGATGCAATGGTTAAGCGCTCAACTGTTAACAGAAAGGTCAATGGTTCATGGGAGAAAAGACCCAATGATATGTTCCTATAGAAATGACAGCCTTGGAAATCATCTGGGTCAGTCCTACTCTATCTTGTAAGATCACTATAAATAAGCACAGACTTCACAGCACACACACAACCTAGGAGACACAAAATGAAAATGACACCAGCTTTCCCTCAATCAGCACACCATTGGAGCTAGGAAATACAATCTCAAATGCCTTCAGGTTCTAGGCAAATCACTGCAAATGGATAAGCAGACCAGTTGGACAACAAGGTATAGTAGGGGCTGAGGCACTGGAGATGTGATGTATGCCCTGCCTAAAGGTCATACAAACATTAAAACTGTGCTGTGCAAGCAAACACTTCTGGGCACTTCCAGCCTACAGCCCTTAGAATGGGCCCATCCCCAACAAAGCTGTTGTTGTTAGTTACCATCAAGTTGGCACTGGTACATGTGTGCCCACAGCCAATCCCACTTCCAACAAAGTAGATCATACAAATGTTCTAGAAGACAGTACAAAATCATCATTTCCTATTGTCGCTCTAACAACATTTCATGGAGGGCTATGTAAAAAGTAATGGTGGTGGTCATGTGCTGTTGACTCATAACGGCCCTGTATAGAATTCCTTTATGGGAACAGAAAGCCTTATCTTTCTACCAGGAGTTACTAGTAGATTCGAACTGCTGACTTGCAGTCAGCAGCCCAACACGTAACAAAGTCAGTGCTCAGAAAAGATGCTTCTTTGATGAACTTTTAATTAAAACCAAAGGACATTGATTTGACCTAAATAATGTGCTCTTATGTACACTTCTCTTATTCACACACATCGTACACGTTCATTTGTGCACGCCATCTCCAGATACGCCCCATGCCTGCTTTAATGGCTATTTTAAGTTTGGGAAAGAGTTGGGCTCATGGGAAGTTCATTCAGAATTTGCATTAGTCCTTTAAAGATGTGACTTTTGATACAGATGCACTGCATTCTAGAATGTACTGCTTACCATATCTCAACCCTGCTGTGACTGGGGCTTTCTGCCTCCAGGAAGAAACTGGATACCGGAGTCGAGTGACCAGGCCTGTTGATTAAAAAGAGAAAACGTTAGAGCTTTATTGAAGCAACCATCCAAGTTATATCACCAGGAGAAAAACATAATCTGATAAAAAAGCTACTTTTACTCTGAAAAACCAACTTTAAAGCCCAAGCATTGATATCACAATCTCCCTGAGAAGATTCATAAACACAGGAAGGAATGTAGTAAAATTCAATGACTTCAACAGAAGAGTTTTTTAGTGGGAAAAATGAGGTATAGGATAAGCACTGAACTGCTAACTACAAGGCTGACTGTTGAAAGCCACCAGCTGCTCCTCAGAAACCCTATACAGGGTCACTATGAGTCACACTGGCTCAAGGGCATTTAATAAATATCCAAAACTTGGCATCTTTTCCTACTTGTTCATTTAGTTATCTTTTATGATCAGCTTGCATGGTATGAAGAAATCAAGCTAGGCTTGAACCACTTTCCCTTGTGAGAATACATCTCTGTCTTGACTTCTAAGACTTACCTCCTCCATTGTGTTGGTGGTAATTGATGAGGAGAGGGATGGAATCAAACACATACTTTTCAGCCACATAATATCGCTTGGGGTTGTCATTTGTTTCTTTGATGTGATAGTGCTTTATACAGGGGCTGTTCTCACTTAAACAAATGAAACAGAAGTACAGAAGTCATTAGTAGGCAACATCTACTGATAATACAAATGTTCACAGGTATCAGATCCCTGTTTCTTGACCTCTCACAAGGATGGCAGATAACATTTCAATTAGTCTTGCCATTGGTGGTGGGAGTGCTGTGTTAAGATGGATTCTGAGGCTGTCTGGACCCAATTGAAAACAGTGCAGTGATGGACTGATGATGTTTCCCCATGACCACAAATCAGTGTCATATGTGTTGCATGATTATCTTCTCTGCTTACGAATATAATAAATTGTCATTATGGGGAAACAGCTCTTGTTTTTTGCTACTTATTTGACTTTGTGTAGAAAATAATAACACAGAAGGCCTGATAGTGCTACCTTGGAGAGACCTGTTTGTAAGGCTAGCCCTTAGGTGGCATTTGGAACTTCAATTTTGGGAGCATTCTATAACTGATAAAAATGACTCATTGTGCCCAAACTCTTTTATAAAAAAATCTAGCTTATGTTGAACAACTTCTTTCTTTCTGGGAGACTAGAATTTGGGTGTGTGCTGGCCAGCCAGTGCCTATGTGACTAATCCCCAATAAAACCTTGGGCACTGAGCATCTAATGAGCTTTTTTGGTAGACAACACTTCCACATGATGTCACGGTTTTTTGCTTGAGGAATTAAGTATGTCCCTTGGTGACTCTACTCAGAAAAAAACTCTTGGAAGCTTGTGTCTGGTTCCTGCTGGGTTTTACCCCGTTTGTTTTTGCCTTTTGCTGGTTTTAGGTGCACTGGCCAGGAATCAAACCCGGATCTCCCACATGGTTTTGGTGGTGCTATACCATAGAGTTGGTTCCGACTCATAGTGACCCTATAGAGGTTTTCTGAGGCCATAAATCTTAATGGGAGCAGAAAGCCTCATCTTTCTCCTGTGGAACAGCTGGTAGTTTTGAACTGCTGACTTTACGGTTAGCAGCCCGACTCGTAACCACTATGCTACCAGAGCTTGTTGATTCACACAAGGAAGGTAAGAATTCTAGTGCTAAGCTACCACTGTCCTCCACAAAATGACAGGAAACTTCATTAGCTGAGTGAGGACTAGAATTCACATCTTCTTGCTCCCAGCCAGAAGAATCTTTCCTATGTACTAAATTATAAACTTCTAAGGACTAGGCATTTTATTTCCTTACAATTCTGTATGCAGGATGCTAACTGGGACGAGGGCCTGGTGTCCAGCCCCAGCTCTGTCACTTTCTAGCTAAGGGACTTTGGTTATGTCTGTAATTTCCCTAGCCTTGGCATTCTCAGATGGAACAGGGAAAACAAGCAATTCTGTACCTTTTCTGTTTCCTATTGTTGCTGTCTTTTACCCATAACTCCTCCACCCCAGAAATACTCTCATGTTGCCCATCTGCATTAGGCGCATACCTTACAATGGCCTTGGTGAAAACAGACACAGTGTATGTTCCTGGAGTCCTGGAATCTCGTACCATAAAGGCCCCTTCTTTACCCTGGAGTGGTTAGAAAAGATCAAAGGTTAGTGAGCCCAGGAAGCCAGGCTTATACAGCCAGTTCTATACTCTTGCCACAAATGAAGAAACTAGTGTGAGTCAGCTTGGCATAAAGTAGACTCTCAATGATAATGGCATTTGCCTAACAAATATTTCTCGTGCACCTACTTTATCAGGTAATTCTGTAGTGCTGAGATTGTGGTTGTCCAGTGCTGTTGAGTCAGTGACCCTCTTTCGGGTTTCTGAGACCGTAAACCTTTAAGGGAGCTGAAAACCTCATCTTTCTACTGTGACGTGGCTGGTGGGTTTGAACTACTGACTATCCTACAGTACCACCAGCACTCCTTCCAATACTGAGATTAACTTGGATGAAGACAAATACAAATTCTGTCCTCATGGAATTCACCATTATACCACATTCTTTACAGAAAATTTCCAACTTTCACCATGGCATTGCAAACTAGGTATTATTATGTTCAGTTTACTCATTGGATGCTGAGTTCCAGAGAGTTAAATCCCCTAATCCACAGAGAGCGGTAGAGCTGAGAGCTGATGTTGGCATGTCAGCAAAGTGCATGCTCATTCTATTACTCCAAGGTGCCTCCATTCATTGGATTAGAAGATGTTCCTGCATTCTCCCAAGGGCACAAACTTTCTATTCTGGAATCTTCAACAGTTCCTAAGTGGAAGTGTATTTCTCAGACTCTTGATAGGCTGCTGATTTTGCTGGAGCGTAGAAGGAGAAAGAATATTAAACTCCTGGATGCATGAGGGAGGTAAGGAGAAGGGAGTACCTTGAGAGTACGTACACCCTTTACCTCTTTGACAATTTTTCTAGGACTGATGACATATTTGGAAGCTGTCTGTCTCTCCTTTTTTCCTAGTCTATCTTAGTGTGTAAGCTGAGCTGAAATCTGTCCACCCAACTGACATTTAAAATACTGGTGGCATAGCTTCCAGAATCACAGCAACCTGCAAACTACCACAGTACAACAAACTGACAGGTGAGTGGTGGATTCAATTACTGGAGGGGTTTTAAAATTGTGACTCTGTTTTGAATACTTCATGCTGTTTCTACCCAGCTGTAATCCTGTGCTGGTTATATAGTATGATTTTCTGAACTTTGAAAGAATGAAGGCTATATCTCTTTTTAATTCTTAATACTATTCCATTCTATGGATATAGTACATTTTGTTTGCCCATTCATCAATTGCTGGGCATTTGGATTCTTTCTACCTTTTGATTATGGTGAATGGTGAATTCATGTCTGACTTCTTTTGCTCAGTGTCAGGTGTGTGAGACTCATCCATTCATCACATGTAGTATGACTTGCCTTCAAGGAAAGGCCAGAGTTAGGCAGGAACCTTGTGTGGATGGTATACACTTGTCATATACAGAGCAAAACATGTAACATCTTGAATAACAACAACCTCATCATCCCTAGCCCCAAAGATAGAGAGTCACACAGAGGGTTGTGCTGGTTGTTTAAATCCTAGAACCTCAGGGTTAGAAAGTACCTTATAATGATTATCTGGTCCAAGATTCCTCAACCTCAGCACTACTGACTTTTTGAGGCAGGTTACTAGAGGCTATCCTATATGTCTAGCAGCACTCCTGGGCTCTACCCATTGGATGCCAGACATTGCCAAATGTCCCCTGAGGGACAAAATGTAATGGTTGAGAGCCACCGATCAAGTCCAAGTCTCTAAACTCTTTCGTACCAAACTACTGATCATCACAATACAATAACAACCTGATATCACCACCAGCTGACCTGGCTCCACTCAAGACCGATGTACTTGTAATCCCCAGGGCTAGGACCCCAGTATCTGAATTTTAAAAAGCATGCCATGGGATTCTTTGGCACCCACTGATTTCACTAGAACACATAGCTCCAATTTATAGGAGTCCTGAAAAGCAGTGTCTCTCCCAAACCAACACTGGTAGTCAGAAAGCTCATCTTTCTGCAGAGTCATAACCTGCTTCCTGTTAACTGGTCCTAGTCTACTTTTCTGTCCCAGTTCTTTTGAGGAGCCGGGGTGGGGGGTGGAGGTAGTTTAGGGGAAAATTGGTCCTTACATTATTACGCATCTTGCCAAACCAATGGTTTACCACATAACTTTGGGCTTGAGTATTGAAGTTAAACTTTTGAAACTCCAAACCACCTCTTATCTCTTTTGGGAGTTTCAAGAGTCTATTTTGAAATTTGAAGATGAGACTGGGATCTTCAGGTCTCTGCTCTTGCATCAAGGTCTCTCATTCCCTAAAAGGCAGTGAGCTATGACTGTCCTATTTATGCATTAGAGTTATTGTTGACAATTCCATCTTAGATAGAGAATTATTAGCAATTCTCACAGGGAACATTTTTTACTAGTTTCACTAAACAGTTTAGTTTAATTTAAATATTGTCTTGGGGGATAATTTCAGTCCATAGTTTGCAGATTTTATCAGTGTAATAGACTTTGGGGGTCCCTCTAATCTCAACAGTATAATTTTTTAAAAACAGCTTTTAAAGTATAATTTATAGATTATAGATTTCTCCCATTTTAAGTTTATTGCTTTTTAGTGAATTTACAGACTTGTGTAATCATCACCACAGTCTGATTTTAGGACATTCCCAAGACTCCAAATGAACCTCAGCCCCTCTGCCCCCCGACACACTAATCTACTTTTTGTCTCTTTACATTTGCCTCTCCTATACATTTCCTGTAAGTAAGATCATACACTTGACTTCTGTGATTAGATTCTTCTACTTAAGATAATGTTTCAAGGTTCATCTATATTATAGCATGTATCAGTACTTCACTACTTCTTTTGACTGAACAATATTCCATTGCTAGATATACCACATTCTTTGTATCTGTGTTGATGGCCATCTGAGCTTTTCTACTTAGTAGATAGTAGAATTTGTGGCTGGCTTCCCATGCTCACCATCATGTTTGTGAGATTTACTCATGTGTTGTCAATAGCATGGTTTGCATTTTGGCCAAATAATGGAACTCTTGCTCTGGCTTCATTTTAATATGATGGGCTAAATTTAAGGTAAGAAGAAACAAAACACCAGCACAGTCAGACTCTATCTGAATGTGTGGCTTATTCTAAAGGGGTACAAACATGGACCCAAAAGACCAGAGGTTTATCATTTGCCCATGAAAAAGAGAGTATGAATCTTTCCTCAATTTAATTTATGAATCGGGCTGCGAACCTTAAGGTCAGCGGTTTGAAACTACCAGCTGCTCCGCGGGAGAAAGATGAGGCTATCTACTCCCGTAAGGATTTACACCCTCGGAAACCCTGTACAGGGTCGCTATGGGTCGGAACC